ACACTTTCACGTCAACCTGTCCCATCATGACTGCCTCTGTCCAGGCACCTGTAACAGCCGCGGTCAGCCCAGGGCTTGTCACAACGCCGCATATCAATGATGGCGTTGCGCGTATGCCATCCGCAGAGCTTCCAGAGATTCTCAATGACGGCGCTGTATTCCCAAGCGCTGCTATGAGCGAGTTAAGTGGCATCTCAGAGGACCCATTCAATCTTGATTCTAAGTTCGCCTACACTCCGCACAAGATGAAAGTCTTCACTATCGGTGCTGGATTTTCGGGGCTTCTCATGGCCCACAAGTTTCAGCACAGATTTCCGGAAATGCGAGACATTGTCGAACATACTATTTTCGAGGCCCATAGTGAGGTCGGAGGAACCTGGTTTATCAACAACTATCCCGGCGTTCAATGTGACGTTCCGGCCCACATCTACGTGAGGCATGGCATTTTACCCCCTAATTACGATATTGTTAACATCCGTGCAGGCATTTCCCTTTGACCCCAACCCGAACTGGAGTCGGTTCTACGCCAGTGGGCCTGAAATCCTTGAATATATCAAGAGCACTGTGAGAAAATGGAACCTTGACCGTGACCTGCAGCTGAATACGCGGGTTATCGGCGCTCAATGGCAGGAAGCCAAAGGCCAGTGGAAGGTTACTGTAGAGCATGAAGGGAAACAGCGCGAAGAGCACTGCCATGTTCTCATTTCTGCGCAAGGCGTCTTGGTGCATGAATCATGGCCAGACATCCCTGGCCTGAGAGATTTTGAAGGCCACATCACACACTCTGCCCTTTGGGATCATAACTACGACTATTCCAACAGGAAAGTTGCCGTGATTGGCAATGGGTCATCTGGAATCCAGATCGTTCCGCAGATGCAGAAGCTACCTGGAACCGATGTCGTGAACTTCATTCGTGGTCAGGCTTGGGTTTACTACCGCGCTCCTCCATCAAAGCATCTCGGTCGGGACGATCCTGACCCAAACCCAAAGTATACAGACGCTGAGAGAGAGATGTTTCAGGACCCCGACTATCATCTTCAACACAGGAAAGGCATTATCTCAAGGACGAACAAGTCATTCCACATCTTCATGAAGGGCAAAAATAACGAGGAGGGAATGAAATTGGCAGCTGCCCAAATGGCCGAGAAGCTCGGTCATGATTCCAAGCTATGCAATATGCTCATTCCAAAATGGGAGTTGGGATGCCGTCGAATCACTCCTGGGCCCGGCTACTTGGAGTCTTTCTTACAGCCCAACTGCAATGTTACCAACAGCCCTATTACCAATATTTCCAAGAAGGGTGTCCATACCGCTGACGGCAAGCTCTACGAGTGCGACGTCAGTAAGTGTCTCCCTTCCTTCGATTTATAGAAGTTGCTTACAAATTGTTTAGTCGTCTGTGCCACTGGGTTTGACGTTTCTCATCGCCCAAGGTATCCGATTGTTGGAAAGAAGAAGGTGGACTTAGCTACGAGATGGGCTGATGACCCTGATTCGTATATATCGGTAGCTATCCCCGACTATCCCAACTACTTCATGATGATGGGACCCAATTGTCTTGGCGGCCATGGTTCCTTGGTCGAGTCTCTCAACTGGACTGGAGATTACTTTATCAAGTGGATCAAGAAAATGGCAACTGAGGATATAAAGTATGTCGAGCCAAAGCAGGAAGTTGTGGACGCCTTCATCAGGTACAGCGATCAGATCCATAAAACTCTTGTTTGGAGTGGTGGATGCAAAAGTTGGTACAAAAGGAACCGCGTCGATGGACGAGTCACGGCACTGTTTGGAGGGAGCGCACACCTCTTCAACCGGATGTTGAATGGCATTCGAGCCGAAGACTTCAACATTTGCTATCGCACATCAAATCCATTTAGATTCATGGGTAATGGTTTCACGGCGTGGGAAATGGATCCCAAGAACGATCTATCATGGTATGTGGAGAAGGCGGACAAAGTCCCTGACGCTTGCACCTCATGAAGGATTTATAAAATTGAGCCGATTTCAGTCCATTGCATTTATTGTTTTCCTAGATTTATGAGCTGAATGATAGGTTTCGCGCGTGGATATCGATAATGTATTCGATTTGTACTGCACGGCGCATCTTGATGGCCCGGGTCTCACCCCGGAACCATGAAATCCAAGCGGTAATCCATGAAAGATTCAAAAAGATCCCCAAACTGATTGGCCAATGTCTCGTGAAACATGAAAACATCAGGCGAGGAGCATACCCCTACGGCAGTCCCATGCTCTTTGCCGGTCAATAGACAGTCGGCGATCCCACCTGTGTCTCTTGTGGCGAACGGGAACAAAGCCGTCCAGTCAAAAATGTCGTTTTCATCTCTAGACAACCTATCTGCGTAGGTTCTAGAGTGTTCGGTAGCTGAAGGGGGGTCCAAGGTCTCACCAGCCCTGGCTGGTGTATTTGCCATGCTTCTCAATCTTTCGAACCCTTGTCTAATCACATTTGCAGAGCCCCACATGAGCTGGAGCTGATCTGCTGCACGCTCAAGAATATCAAGACAATCGTTTGCATCTTGAGCTAAATTTCTGACACGGCAGGCTTGTAACAACGGTATGAAGGCTGTCCCGCAGTACCAACAAGTGATTGCCATTAAGAAACGCGTGTTGCCTCGAGATAGGATGTCTCGAAGTATTCTGGCAATACACGATGCCGCCAGGATAGCCGGCGGCAGTGCTTCGGGCAAGGTATTGGCTGAACGTTTGAGATGGAGAACAATGACTGTTGTCAGATAGGGCAAGTAAAGTTGATGTACGTCTCTGTCAAACTTGTGGGTGTGAGTCGATCCGATAGGTAGTCGTAGGTACGGCGGTAGAGAGTTCACCCAATCAACAAGTTCCTGTCTGTGTTGATCTGGGGTTGCAGTAGTTGCTGTCGGAATTGATGACCGAGACAGAGCTTTTGCGACCTTGCCAATTATGACACACAAGCGAACCCAGTGAATAAATATTTCTCCTTTTCGCTGATGAATAGGGTCGCTGGGGAAATCGGACAGCAATGGCTCTCCGATATTACAGTCATCTGGATCTATGATTGCCGGCTTGCTTTGGCAGAGGGCGGTCAGTCGTTCCCTTGCCTGAGTGATCACTTGTTAGCAAGTTATTTCAGCTTGCGAGCAGTTGGGAGAAACTGACAAAAGCAGTCCACCATATCCTCCGGCGAAGCCCTAGCTTTAGATTGCTGCCCGGAATATGTTCAGACGCCGGCTCTCGATGAAGGTTCATTTGCTGTGCATGACGAATAATGACGGAGGTCCACCACCAGGATGAGTGTCGGTGCACTGTACTCGGTGGCTTTGGGGCAAACCAGTAGAAGAGTGATAAACCCATCAGCGTCGTTAAGCCGTCCGACTCCTCGTCCTCATAGAAAATAGTCCTCGCCTTTTTATAATACTCGGTAGGCCCCTCGTGAGGGACAAGAGGAGGTTGAATATTGCTGGAGGCAGTTGCGAGAGCGTTTGCAAGTAGTGGAGAGCGAGCAATATCGCTAGCGAGGGTTTCAGGATCAAGAACCGGACACCACGAGTAGCAGTATTCCCAATACGTTTCTGCGAAGCTTTCTTGTAGATCTTGCTCGTGCGCGCTAGAGAAGTTATACCTCTGTTCGAGACATGCCTCGAGAGCCTGCTTTTGAGCATTGGATTGGTTCTCAGGGGCATACACCTGAAGAAATCCGGTGTCAATGTCACCAGTATGACTCTCTGCTAACCCTTCCGTTCGAGTATCACTGCTGGGAGACCTCTGCGTTGGTGATAGCACAGCGAGTCCACTATGGGACCTTACATGGGATGCTGAGTGTCTACGCGGGGATGGCTCAGGAAGATGATGATCTGAATGTTGAGAATGACCGTGAGGCTCAGTGGGGATCGACGGGGTGGGAGGGATGATTTCATCGAAGTCTGCCGATGATACTTGAATGTTGTCCATGATCGCATGTGCATTTGAAGTGATCCCCTCGTCCCCAGATGCTGACGCGGCAGGAGGTGTCGGTCCGTGTTTGTTTCTCAGTCTCGAACGTAGTCGTTTCGTGCGTTTAGATGGCCGTAAGTGGCAGTCCTTTTCAGAAATATTACAATTCGTGCAGCTCTGGTGCCCCTCCGATGTTCTAGCCTGCACCTATATATCAAAATGGGCTTCCCGGGTCTTAGGGTGATGCATACTGACCTGGAGGTCACATTTGACCTTTTTCTCGTGGCAGATAATGCAAACCAGCTCAGCACGTCGTCGCTTTGGTTGCGTCGCATCAAAAGGGAGCCAATCGCTAACCATATCCGGCATCCTTCAGATGATTAATAGGAAAATTCCCGGCAGTGAAGATGATTTCTCGCAAGGCAAAAACGCAGTTCAGAACTTTGTGCTCTTCAGCGTTATTAAGGGAGTTAGAATGATATTGGAAATGAGAGGTATGATGGTAGGAAGGCGGAATGCGGTTGCGTTGCAAATGGGAGGGGAGGAAAGGATGTAGGCCAAGAACAAGGAAATGCGGGGTAGATAAATCTGGGCACGTATGTGCGCCATATGTGTGAGGCGGGGTGGGAGGTATGTTTTGCCGGATACTGGGGATTTCGGTAGGGACGGGTGGAATGCTGCACTAAGAAGCCTTGCAGGCAACACACAAACTAACTCGCGCAATGGCAATCGCGCAATAGCAATGCCTTTGTAGTGCTTATAGGAGCAAAGTGATGATCTGGGCATTGGCGGTTGTTAGAAGGACGGAGCGTCTTGTTTCTGAATACGGTTTGCAAACTTTGATAAAGTATAATTATGCTCTTATAACTAATGCACAGCGCATATTTAACATTAATCTCAGTCTATTAACTCTGCAAGCTAGGAGCCAGATCATGAACCATAAGTAAGGTTGCTCAGTTCAAAGTTGCATACTCTAGAAGCCGCATGCATCTTATGATTATAGACATAATCTGTGTTGAGCCTGCTAATCCTTCTGACTTACTTCAGAGAATATACCGGAACTGTGGATTCTACTTTCCGGTGAGTATACAACACCCGACACCCGCAGAGAGGAGCTTTACCAACCTTGATGTCTGTCAGATCATCGTCATAGGCGTGATCGAATCCCTCCATCGTGCCACCCCGGTCCCGCCGATTGTTCTGCCACACACAATGGAAGCGATAAACCAGACAAAGAATACCTGCGGCCAGGGACGTGATGACAACCACAATGAAACCGAAAGCATACTCCGGTGCATCTTGCTTCCGGAAGACGAGTGGACCAACGAAGTTACCTGTGACTGACATGAGCAATACAGCTAAATTAAGTTACAACAGCACTCTTACCTAGACAGTACCCAATATACAAACCAGATGAAGCAATGGATCGCTTGGTGTAGCCAGCTGTATTTGCAATTTGAAGACCCATGAGCACCGCATAGCCACCTCCAACAGACGGCAATATATATGCAGCAAACAGCAAACCACCCTTGGCTGATCTGGGTAGAAGCCAGAGTAGAATGGCCGCCAATGTGGTCCCTAGTTGTGCCCCAAAGATAACCCACGTCCGACAATTCTTGAATTTATATGCAACGTATGGCATGACCAGTTGCACCGTACCTCCATATGCACCTGCAGGCATCGTAAGCAGGAGCGAATTAAGAGTACTGAATCCGAAGCCGTTGATGATGATAGGGACAAAAGTCGATATAGGACCATTTGCAATCATGCAAAGAAATGCCACCGCAAATACAAGCCAGAACTTCATATCTAGCGCGAGCTCCCCAACTTGATCCATCTTGTAGTGGGTGTTTCTCACACCAGAGTTGTTACTCCTGAGGCGGGCAACAAGTATGTAACGCTCTCTTTCGTTAAAGCCTTTAGCTCTAATGGGGTCGGCAGGCAGGAGGAAGTAGAGAAGAAGACCCCAGGCAATAGTCAGGGAGCCAGCAAAGTAAAACATATATCTCCAAGAAGAGACGCCTCCGTTAAGCTTGCCGAATCCATAGTTAATAAGAGGAGAGAAGATAGAAACGTATCCAGTGCAACTGTACCAAATGCTACTCACTAGATTAGTTACCCAAAGATGAATATTGCCTGCAGTTCCGTAGTTTGCTTACCCCATGCGCATTGCCTGTTCATTCTTCTTGTAAAAGCTCCCGACGATCAACATGAACATAGGGGAGATCCCGGATTCCAGCAAACCAAGGCAAAATCGCTGAACGTACAAGCCACGGTAGTCTGAGCATGATGTAGTCAAGATGAGGCACAAGCCCCAAAGAGTGACTATGACTGATGCGACCTTTTCCACGGGAAACTTCTGTGCTAAGATCATAGCAGGATAGGCGCCAGCAATGAAACCGAGGTAGAAAATAGAAGCGGACCATGAGTATCTATCGCTAACAGTGAGGTCCAAATCGGTTCTAAGCCCAAACAGAGCCTGAAAAGAACGGTATTAGCTAACTGGGAAACTGCTTCGAAGTGGATATAAACTTACCGCTTGGGAAAGCATTGCTTTGTCGTAATATTGTAAACCGTACGTCAGACAAAGGACAGGCATAAGTTTCCAGTCTACTTTATGACGCAGCTTGGATTCCTCTGTTTCCGCCCAACCACGGCCGCCTGTGTATCTGTCGAGAATTTTCATCGCTTCGTCGTGGTGAAGCGTATCGACTGCAGCAATTGGCTTCGGGCCTGTAGCAACCTCAGGCCGCTCCACTTGCTCGACATTTTCAGCAGATTTGGTAGTGTCGGACATGGTTGATGCAGGTTGGAAACTAGCTAGAGCAAGACAAATTAGAAATCTGGAGCAGGAAAAAGGCAGAGTAAAAGGAAGTCACATCTTTCCAGTATCTTTGTTTTGTGTAGGAAAGCCGAGCTACCCAAGTTTTCTCTATGAGCAGGATGGGTCGGGAGATTGAACCGGTCAATTGGGAAGGTCGAACGCATGCAGGCACAGGGAGGCATTCCCTGGTGGAATGGGTCCGGGGCACCTAGGCTCAAAGAGTCGAAATTCGTCTGGTACTTCGTGAAAACGTAGTGTTGCGGCAGTCCTAAAGGAGAAAACGATCAGAGCGGAGCTGGCATCTGCACCATTTGCGGGTAGCCGGACGGTCCCCGCGTCCACCACCCCGCAACGTTGGGGTTGCTAGCCAGCGCCCAGGGCGAGGTTCATTCCTCGCACTCCAAAATTATGCGACCACTTCATATCAAGGACACAATTGATAAAGAAGCTTCTTTCATAATAACATTTGACGGACCACGGCTAGAGAGTCACTGTTTCAGCCGAAAATTCTCTTTGAATCGGTACTTTTTGTCTCAGAACCATGTCGTCCTCAGTCCAGTTGCCTCAGGGGAAAATCGCAGTTGCAGTGAAGATGATCAATCCAGTCAACTTTGGACCGGCAATCATCAAACGCTTCATGGCACCCGACGTGCCAGGCCTTAAAACGTTCAAGACATCGCCATCGCTATGTTTCCTTCTAGAGCATCCTTCAGGACGCAAGTTGATGTGGGACTTGGGGATTAGGAAAGACTACTGCAACTATGCACCGTCCATCGCTAATTATTTACCATCAACAAGGTACAAGATTGAGATTACAAAGAACGTCGTGGACATACTTAGAGAGAATGGGGTTTCACCACATGATATAGAGGGAATAATATGGAGGTAGGCAATAAATACCCGGGGCACTGACGCTACCTCATGTCCAGGACACCACACTTACTATCAGCAACACAGCCACTGGCACTGGGATCATATAGGCGACCCGTCAACTTTCCCTGTGACTACGGACTTAATTGTCGGGCCTGGATTCAAAGATGCGATGCTTCCCGGGGCCCCTGCAAATCCTGAATCTCCTATTCTTGAAATGGATTATGTGTAAGTTTATCTACTCCAGAGTTGATTCTTATATAGGCTGATGAAATTTTATCAAGCGGTCGAACATTAAGAGAGATCTCTTTCGAAGGGTCCCAGACCCTCCGCATTGGGGGTTTTCCGGCCTTTGATTACTTTGGCGATGGCTCTTTCTACGTCCTGGACAGCCCAGGACATGCTATTGGACACTTATGTGGCCTTGCTCGAACCACCCCAGATACTTTCATACTTCTCGGCGGTGACATTTGTCATTATGCGGGAATATTCAGGCCTTCGAAATATCTGCCGATTCCTAACTCAATATCACCACATCCTTGCAGACCCCAAGAAAGGTCTTCGCTATGCCCTGGGAGCGCATGGGAAGAACTCCAGACATCCAGAGGAAGACAGCAAACTGATGCGCTTTTTGACGCAACGTTTGGACTGAACCTGCCGCAAGCCAAAAGGACTGTCGAACATCTCCAAGAGCTAGATTGCAACGAGAATGTGTTCGTCATAGTCGCACATGACTCCACTGTTCGGGACTGTGTGCCTCAATTCCCGGCGAGTCTCAATGATTGGAAGATTGAAGGCTGGGGGCAGAGAGTAAGGTGGGCTTTTCTCCGCGATCTCGAATCATATTGGAGATCGAAAGGACTTTAACTCAACGATATGGCGATGGTATTTAGGAATTGGGCATGTCATAAACTGTCAGATTCTGAAACTCGAAGAAATTGCTGTGTTCGCCAGCTCATAGAATAATAAGTCTCTGGATCAAAAAGATCATTGAACAGACGTGTCTTTGTCATGAATATGCAGACCCATGACATGTAGTTACAGCTAGCTCAATGGACAGAGTTTGTGCGTTCCATTACACCATAGCCCACGTTGAACCTTCCGGCATAGACATTTTCAGGAAAGCCGAGGTCAATTTGGTTTACCGAACCTTTGCCCTCTACGTGTCAAAATCGGCAACCAGCTGCACCCCGCACACCCCCTCTCCGGCCCGCAATTTGGCCTGTACGTCGGCAGTTTAATACTGGCTCCCAATGCAGACTCTCCATGCAGGCTGAATCATTGTAATAATAATCCGCCAGCTTTCTGCATGATATAACTTCTTCAGACGCATTCATGACAGCTGGTCTTTTCCGATGCTAATGAACAGTCCATTGTCCACCTCCCACCAAAGCAATGTCGCAAGTTAATGAAACCTGTGCCAGTAATTCTGGTCCATCAACATTCGACGCCGCTAATGAGAACCTGGATTATGACGTCTTGATTATTGGGTGCGGATTAAGCGGCATATTCTCACTGCATAGGGTCAGAGAGCTTGGTTTGAGAGTCAAGGCCCTTGAAGCTGGCTCAGCTGAAGGTGGGACATGGTTTTGGTATGCTCTATTTTGAAGTTGAATTGTAGCTGTCACGCTAACAGATTCGCAGGAATCGATACCCTGGAGCTCGGTTTGACTCTGAGAGTTACTCATACATATTTTCGTTTTCACAGGAGGTTCTTGACGAATGGGATTGGACAGAGCACTTTGCGCCACAAACGGAGACCCTTCGCTACATTCAGTACCTTACGAACAAATTTGACTTAAAGAAGGACATGCGGTTTAATACGCGCATCCAATCAGCCCACTTTCAGCAATCCTCTAGCTCATGGCTACTAGTCGACTCTACTGGAAAGACTTACACCAGTCGTTATCTGATAACTGCGATGGGTATTTTGAATGAGCCAACGCTGCCCAATATCCCTGGTGTTGGTGATTACAAAGGAGAAGCCTGGCACACAGCCCGTTGGCCTAATGGAAAGGCCAGTCTTCAAGGAAAGCGGGTAGCCATCATCGGTACCGGAGCAACAGCCATCCAGACCATTCAGGAAATCGTCAAGACTGTTGGTTCTTTGACCGTCTTTCAACGAACCCCAAATTGGACAGCCCCGTTGAGGAACACCCCAATCACTCCTGAAGAAATGAAGGACATTCGCCGGCGATATCCGCAGATTTTTCGGCAATGCCTCGACTCGTACTCTTGCTTCATTCATGTTGGAGACACCAAGAGCGTCTTTGACATGGGGGATGAAGAGCGCACTAAAAGCTGGGAGGAGCTTTATGCACTTCCTGGATTTGCTAAAGTGCTGGGGATCTCAGGGGATATCTATACCAACCGAGAAGCCAACAAACTTTACAGCGACTTCATAGCCAACAAGATTCGTCAACGCGTTAACGATCCAAAGGTAGCTGAAAAGTTGATACCGAGAAATCATGGCTTTGGAACCCGTCGAGTACCCTTGGAGAGTGGCTACTATGAAGCTTTCAATCTATCAAACGTTCGACTTGTGGACTTGACTGAAGATCCGATTGAGAGAATAACAGAAAAGGGCATACGAACGAGAGCAGAGGACCTTGAATTCGACGTCATCATTTATGCAACCGGCTTTGATGCTGTCACTGGATCCTTTCGGGCGGTGGACTTTCGGGGCATTGACGGCACTCAGCTTCATGACGTTTGGAGTGAAGGCATTCAAACTTATCTGGGACTGACCGTGAAAGGATTTCCCAATATGTTTATGATCATGGGCCCACATCAGATGTTTGGCAACATCCCTCGAAGCATCGAATACGCCGTCGAATGGGTTTCAGACTTTATTCGGTATGCGCGAGATAACAACATTACCTCTGTCGAAGCTACTGACGATGGAATGCGCATGTGGACAGAGCATGTTTGGAAGTGTGGGGAGGGGCTGCTGGCTAATGAGGTGGACTCATGGATGACAGGAGTCAACAAAAATTTAGCACACAAGCAGCAACGGTCCATGACAAGATACAATGGACCGGCACCTGGGTACCGAAAACGATGCGACGAAGTGAAAGCGAGGAAATACTCTGACTTCCTCATACGATAGTTTTCATGCGATCATCAAGGATATAATTTCTCAGACTGGAAGTTTCAAACTTCTGGTTGTTTGGCAACCTCTCAACTCGGGTGAAATATCATGTTTGATTCAGCCCAAAATACAAAGAGCAGAGGCCTATGAACGGGCATCCTAGCTCGCAGTGTCCACAAAACTTCAAGCCTCATGGATAACAAAATGCCCAGATGCGGTCGGCTTAGTCAATGCCCACTTGATACCATAGTCAGTCACATTGTCCCAATGTTTCGACTCGGATAGCTTGTCCCCGAATCGGCGAAACCCGTGGGGGACTCCTCTGAAGATATGCGTCTCGGTGGGAACTCTGGCGAGGCGGATTAGTGGACCTACATTCAGAGGCATAGAGGTTGAACTTACCCTGACTCGGTGAGTAATTTGGCGTACAGTAAACCCTCGTCTCTCAACGGATCCAAGCCAGCAATTCCAAGTGTTGTAGGCGGCATTCCCTTCAATTGCCCCGTGGATGCATTTCCAGGATTGAGCCTGAGATCGTAGTAGTCCGGCTTCTCGATTCTCAACAACCCAACAAACAAATCAATCATCCTCCTGGGAAGGATCGGAGCATTCTCGTTTTCAGCATAGGATGAAACCGCGGGATGCTTGAGTCGCTTCAAATGGCCGTCATAACAGTCCGGATTAACCAGACAAGGAATGATCAATACTTGACCGGCAATTAGAGGGAGTTCTTTGCCAAAATGACCAAGATGCTGGGATAGGGTGAGAGATGCGGTCAACTGGCCCCCGGCAGAAATACCGCCCACGACTACCTTTTCGGGACAGCCGCCGATCTCGGCGATGTTTGCATGCAGCCACTGAAACCCGTCCTCAACGTCATTCCAAGCTGTTGGGTAGATGAAGTCAGGTGTATGACGATAATCCACGCTGACCACCAAGACGCTTGTGCTTATAGCAATTCGAGAGCAGGCAGCGTCCTCTGAGTTGATCGTACCAAAGAGAAAGCCCCCTCCGTGTAGGTAAAGGTAAACAGGCAACGGGCCCTCACCTGCTGCCTTCGGGCGGTAACTTCGCCCTTCAATGGTAGACCCATCACGAGTTGGGATTGTCCAGTTCCGTACAATAACGTGGCCTGCCATCGTTTTCATTGCCTCAAGGGACATCTCTTCGCGTACCTTATTGGTTGTGCTCTTGCGTTCTGCCACAGATAGCTCGGCCGGTGCGGGTGGTAAGCCTGCTTCCACCGCAAGCCACTCGTCGCTCGGGCCACCGTATTGAGAAAAGTCGCACATTGTATATCCAAGCGTTCTTGAGCTCCTTTCCTAGTATATGATGCAGATGCTGGGGGAAGCAGCACCTGCTCCAATGTAAGATTCTCACAAGGCTTTTCAAAAGGCTGAAGTGGATGGAAGCAAGACTTGAGAAGTGAACGCGATGTTAGTTAGCTGTGATCATCAAAACAGGATTGATCTTTGGCGTTAATCGAAGCCCCGTCAATGGCCCGTTGTTCGGTCCTCCTCTCCTAGTCACCGGCAGAAAGAGGGGTAGATCGACTGGCTTCGTCATTGGTCGCGGGAAGCAGCTTCCGAGAAAGCTTACATCAGCCATAGAGGCATCTGTGCCTCTACAAACCTCGGCTTTGCTTTGCGGAGCCGAGCATGCCGTGGGCTCCAGGCTTTCCAAAATCGGTAACCCGGAATGCCGATTAAGTATCGCAATGTCACAAATCCGATTAGTTACATGAAGTCGATGGTATCAAGAACTGACTTCAGCCGACGATTTTGATTGTGATTAGCAACAATCGCAACCCTCTTCCCCTGTTGTATCAGCTTCCCTGCAGAGATTGAGACCATGTCGGAAATTTCAGTCAACCCTCCCTCACGTTCGTTCAATGGGAAGGTCGCTATAGTCACAGGTGCAGGTTGCGCGGGAGATGGGATCGGGAACGGTCGCGCAATATCCATCTTACTCGCTGACGACGGTTGCAATGTCATTTGCGTTGATCGGGACCTCTCTTGGGCAACCAAGACCTGCGAGATTGCGAACCTAAAGCCCGGCAGAGGGAAGACAATACCAATACAGGGAGACGTCACATCGTCAACAGACTGCCAAAATGTTGTTCGGCAAGCAATATTCGAGTTTGGTCGACTTGACATTCTCATCAATAATGTGGGTGTTGCCGGTGCACCAGGTACTGCGGTGGAAGTTGATATGGAACAATGGACCAAAAGTCTCGACGTCAATGTCTCCAGCATGGTTTTGATGGCCAAATACGCGATTCCTGCAATGCAGAAAAATGAGGGTGAAATCAAGGGGGCAATCGTCAATATGGGCAGTGTCGCGGGATTGAAGGGAGGGACGCCGCACTTGCTTTACCCGACGAGCAAGGGCGCTATCGTAAATATGACACGAGCAATGGCGGCGCATCATGCTGGAGATGGTATTCGTGTCAACTGCGTTTGCCCTGGCGTATGTTCACACACTCCAAGATTCAGAACATCTTTGCTAATACTGGTCAGATGTTATATACCCCCATGATGTATGCCGGCGGAATGAGTGAAGAGGCAAGAGCCGCAAGGAGACAGAGAAGCCTTTTAGGCACAGAAGGTAACGGATGGGATGCTGCATGTGCGGTTGTCTTTCTCGCAAGCAATCATGCACGTTGGATGACTGGTGTTATTCTTCCAGTCGATGCTGGAACTACCGCAGCTGTTGGCATTGGAATGGTAAAAGCTGCCAGCGTTAATGGTTAAGATTTCCTTATGATTTTGCAGAAATTTCAATTGGGAATGATACGATGTTTTCGAAGCTATTCAACCCAGACTTTGCTGGGTACGTCGTGACTGTTTCCCATTAATTCAGTCGTGCAAAAGTGCAATGCGTGCCTTGACTTCGCCTTTCTCCAAACGGCTCAAAACGCGAGGAAAGTCTTTCAGCCTCGCTGTTTCCACACGTGGCTTAATCTTATTGTTAGCAATCAGCTGCAGTACCTCCTCAAGGTCGCTAATCTGCCCTCCATATGAGAATATATAAGTGAGGCGCTTCCTTGTGCCAATCTTCATGTGCACGGTGTTCTCAGTATCAAGACTGCCAATGCATAGCAATCGCCCCCCGCGACGAACTTCAGGCTTGCTTTAGCGGAGCTCCCAAGTATAAAAATCAGAGAAAGAATGTAGGTAAAATTTGACTCACCAATTTGCTGTGCGTCTTCGAACGTTTGGTGAGTACCCACAAAATCCAGGACGGCGTCAATCTTACCAGTTAAGCCCTTGTCTGTGACAAACTTTTGCACAGGCTCTCCAACTGGAACTAAATCTGACTTTGGAACGCCAATTGCAGCTGCTTCCTCGAGAATTTCCGGCCTGATATCGGACACAACGACTCGTGCCCCAATATCTAGGAGGAGTTGAAGAGCATTGAAACCAAGTCCTCCCAGTCCAAATAAGAAAACTGTCTCGGTCTGCTTGATCTCACCACGCCTGTAGATGGCATGATATGCTGTTGCCACGGCATCTGTGGCTATCGCTGCCACCTCAGGAGATATACCTTTGGGCACATGGGCTAAACCACGGACGTCGATTGCAGCGTAAGGGGCATAGAAGCCATCTTGTCCAATCCCAGAGTGATGACCGACGTCGCAGAGTTGCTGCATGTTGCGAGAGCACTCTGCACAATGGCTTGAGCCACAGCCAGGAACAGCATTCAAAGCAACAACATCGCCCTGTGAAGTTATATCCAATTAGCAGACAAGCTAAAGAAAACCAGTAGTGAGACTAACGATTTTGAACCGAGTGTCTGTAACTTGATTACCTATCTTTACTATTTTCCCGCAGCCTTCATGACCCTAGAATGAAGTAAGTCATAGGTGATGAATTGGGAAGGGGGTAATTTTCCAATACTAAAGTGAACTTCGGTTGAAACCAGTGAGGTTGTTTGTCAACTGCAAGAAGCGATTGGTCACTCCGACAGACTGTGATTTAGCGCTCCAGTCAACGGTTGGTACTTAAAATGAGAGCAATAGAAAAGGTCTCACCGCCTGAAGCCAACATCTTGCACAAAACACCATTTTCAGGTGCTTGAGGCACAGGAATTTCTTCCCAAACCTGATCCACTGTTAGCCCTCAGTTTGACATCGTATAGTAGGCGGGTTTAGTTACTGGCTGTGGCTTTCCTCTATGTTTACGCCAAGCCATCATTGTGGGAGGAATCAAACTTGTCATTGTTGCTAGATGTGTATTGTCAGCTGCGATTGCGAGCTTTAGGGGTAGCCGCGACGGGAAGGCTATATTATCCCGAGGACGTTGAGATTTACGCCGGCATACCGATTCAGGCATTGCCGAGGTTTACCGGGCGTCGGCTTAACCGGGAACATTGCGACATGCCTATTCAAACGGAGGAGAAGAACTGACTTTCCACAGACGTCTCAATTGCGACTAAACAAGATACTTAGCCAAACTGACATTGCTCGTCGAACATTTAGTTAAAGAAAGGTAAGTTGAAGAAACAAGCGAGGGCATCCACACAAGTCAGTTCCATCTGAAGACGAAAATTATTAGTGGCGTGGGCCTGAAAGCTGCAACGTTGTGTGTTCGCTGCTGAGTGGGCAGCGCGGGTTGATAACCGAGCTGAAGATGCTCAGATTCACTGTTTAGGAACGCCAATGAATACGGAATAGTCCGTCGTTCTTTATCTTAGATGCCATTCTCGGCAACAAAGTGGCATTGATTGTTTGATTCTACCAAAATTGCGAATAAAATCATGCGTCGAATGCCAATTTGGTGGTAGACAGCGAGTGAAGCAGACTTGGCTGGCAATGGTCTAAATCAAGCGAGGCCTAAATGATCTTTTGGTCTCGGCGCCTGTGAAAGCTGCACGCATTCAAGAAGATCTTGTTCCACACAAGTTGCAGGAAGTTTCCCTCGCCATTTAGTCCTCAACAACACAGGATACTAGTATAGGGGACAGTACGTAATCTGAACTTGGAATCGGTCAATATGCAGCGGGTTTCGTGAGGTCCAAACAATAAAGCATGGTGAATGGCATGAAACAAGATTTTTTTGGCTGCTAACCAACAAGACGTCTGCGTGCTAGGGGAACTCAGATAGGAACCTAGCCGACGGCCGCCGCCGGCATCGCAACACAGACACGCGCAGTATCAAACCGAAGTTTCGCCTCGCAGGCTGTGGCAGTGCAGTCCAATACGTGTCTAAGTAGGTGCGATGTGGCTGATATCTCACTGCAACAAGACATCCCCTCGTCCTCTTGACTCGAGCGGAAGATTGAATCGGCCATGACCGAGTTTATCTGGTGCATTAACAGGGACGTCAGGTCATCAGCGTACTGGAGTCGCATTAGAAGCGGACAGTCCGGAGACGAGATGGAGATCTCACGGGCCGCAGAACACTCCCCTCCTCCATTCCTGAAACAGCTAGCTCAATGGCCAAGCTCTCCGGGGGGGTCTTACCAGCGCTAATCCTAGCACGGCTAGATATCTGGCCAAGACGCTTACCGACTTTGCCAGTGGCTTGGCATCTGGGGAGCCATGAGCCCCTTTCCGTAGATCGGATGGCGACGCAGCAAGCTTCAAGGAACCCCCCAGAAAGAGCCGCCGTTATCACCCCGATACATGCAAATTCTCATCCCAGAGAGCTGTCTGGAGCCGGTGATCTTCTTATCTTGACCCATTACATGAGATAGCGTGACGGCGGCGGAGGTGTTTTATAAACGAGAAAAGAATTGCGGTCGCTAATTTGTTGGGTATACGTCTATGACAATGGCGCTCGAAATGAGGGCTAATGGAGGACAGAACTCATTTCCCCTTTAGATTGACATTGACTCCTTCTTGCGCTACCTCAGCGGGCGCTCCGTAGATGACTTGGCCTGATATTTCGTCCGCCTGCAGATATGTCTGGCGGCCCCGAATGAACCAGAAGCTCAGACTAAAGACAACAATAATTCCAAAGACGACGATTGCGTAATTCATATTTGCTGGCGCAGGCTTCGGTTCAGATGGGAAGAAGAAAAAAACAGTAGTGACAGCGCAATAGACAAGGGAGACCCCGTTAACGACAGGCCCAAGTCTCCCTAGGCTGAATGGCCCGCGCTGTAACTTGTCGCGCCCCACGATAAGAAGGGTCAAGATAGGCATAGCGTAAGAGACTGTTAAGGCAATGGTACTGACGCCAACAATGGCCTCTAGAACGGTGTTGGAAAAGGTGTACAGGACGCCGACCAAGCCGATAACCGCACCCTGCATCCACAGAGCCCGGACGGGAGCTTTCCAGTATTCGTCAACATGGGCGAAGTAAACACCGAACGGCAAACCACCGTCGCGAGCAAAACCCCATGTCAGTCGTGACGCTGTGGTGACGACCGTCACTCCTTGGCCGAGACCGTTGACGATGAAGAGGGCGAGAAGAACTGCCGACCCCTCGAGACCAACAGTGCTCTTGACGAGATCCATGAACGGAAGGCCGGTAGACGGGTCAAGTATCTGGTCCAGGTCTTGAATACAGAAAAGACAGATCATCATGAAGATAAATCCCGTAGCCGCACCGCAAAGAATTGAAAGCCAAATGACCTTTGGGACATTCTTCCTTGGAGCCGGAATCTCTTCGACAAGGTGAATTGCCGCATCGAAGGCAGTCAGGCCGTAAGCTGCCTGAACAAGCCCCATGAACCAGGTGATGCCATCCGTCCAACCAGTCTGGTTGATCCATGCCCCGAAGACGAAGGATGTTGACTGGAACTCGAGGCCGTTTCTTACGCCAACGGAGATGAGAAGGGCCAACCCAAAGATGAAGAACAAGGCGACAAATGTGATACCGATGAAATTGTTGAACATGGGCAGAACCTTGTCTTTGCGGCAGGCCACGACATTCAATGCTGTAAGCAGAGCTGTTATGCTTAGGTATACTAAGAATTGCACCCAGCCTTTCGACGCCGGGGGCCAACTCGGGTCGAAGAGCAGGTTCATTCCCAAGATGAACTCAGTCATGAACGCGATCGTGGATGCCGATAACGTCCACCAGCCAAAGGTGTTGATCCATGCGCAGAGGTAGGAGAAAAAGCGTCCAGCAGCGGTTGGCCAAAGTTGTGAGACCCAGTAAGCCTGGCCTAGAGCTGTCGGCATACTGCTGCAGAGCTCTCCAAGGGAAAGGCCTATGCAGATGTTGCAAGCAGCAACTAGGCACAACCCCCAAAGGATCGCGATAGGGCCGCCGTTCATCAGGCCGCTTGCCAAACTTTGCGCGAATACCGACCATGTTCCCAAAACCACGAAGGCAAGCGAAAGCATGCTCCAAGTGTCGAACTTGCGGCTCATGGCCTGGGAATGTCCCATATCAGCCAAGTCGTATGCGTCCTTATCTTTAGTTGGTGCATGTTTGAGTGTTGAGCCGAATTCGGGATCCATTGTGTGATAGCTGATATAGGTGGACTGGTGCTGTTGACCCAGCGGGAAAAGAAGGGGATTGGTCTCGTTTTGTGGTTTCCGTGTGTGCATTCTCGGTCGATAGCTTGTAGATGGTGAATCTGTTGTTGTTGGCGGCACGGCAGCTGGACTCTTATATTATTCTGTCTACCCCTTACTCCGGACTTCACACCTCATATCTTATCCACCGTGGACAATGTGACCCGGAAAATGTGACTATACATGATACATAATAGAAATCACAGCCCAGGAACAGATACGGAGCTTTCGGATAAATTCATATGTACCAAAGCGGACTTGATCGTGAATGCGACGGGGACTTGCATTTCAGTCGGAACAGGCCGGTCCTGGTCGATCGACTCAGCAAAGGGATGTTGGACCAACCATCCTTGTCTTCCCCGCGCCAGAGGTGTTGGGTCTTGATCAGACTGCGAAACGACTGAAGAGGCTCGCCGATGAGATCCGAAGGGAGGCTTTCATGAGACAGTCGTTTACGTAAATGAGAGTCATGGATCGAGTGTGTCAAGTATATAAATGGCCACAAAGCTTCGCTGCACACCTTCTCGTCCATACGTAGACTATGCACCAACAAGCTCACAGGAAGCTGGTAGTCTGTCATTTTTTCTGCCGTCAAAGCATCAACCATGATTGAAGACAGCTCGTCCCTCCCCGGGTACACGATCTTTCAGGAGGAGGCCACAGATGCGAACCCTGATCTGTCGGCGAAACCTCTCGGGCATCCTCTTGGTAGGTTGTACGACTCTGGGAGGTCCCTGGTCGTCGTATCGATTCGGGAAATTTTGGGGAACTTTAAGCTAATGCACGCCGCTCAGATCCGCTGTCAGTAGATGAAATCCGGGTCGCGGCGAAGCTCATCCGAACTCATGCCAAGTTTAACACGCTGAAGTTCAATTGCCTCACCTTAAGAGAGCCGGAGAAGGGTTGCTATGCTGCATTCCGTGCAGGCAAGGGTCCTCGGCCCCCACGCCGTGCTTTTGCCATTGTGCTAAAGAAAGGTACTAGCCAGTGTGAAGAGGTTATCGCGAACCTCACGGCGTTGGAGGTTGAATCCTGGAAGGCTGTGGCTGAAGTAGCTCCTACTTTGACGCTAGAGGACCTTGACGTCACGGAGAGAATTGCCCGAAAAGACTCCAGAATCGTCCAATTATGTCGCGAAGTTGGCATAACGGACATGTCCAAGGTGTACTTTGATGCTTGGG